TATACTGAAAACACAAATTTATAAATTTTTTTATGTATAGGTAGGTACGTAAAAGATTTGGACAAATTAATTGATGGGCATATAAAAGGGTATATTAATTTTTTTTTCCGGAAAATGCAATTTTTTTTCCATAGCAAACACATTTACGATTAGTGTTTTTAAAATACTGTATATTTTGAGGATCCCCTTCTTGTCCTATAGGTGTCGTAAGAGGCCATTAAGGGAATCTAATGGTTGAGGGATGGGCAGCAGCGTCCTTCTTAAAATATCAAAAGCCAAACTGAGGATGCCAATCTGCCTACGAAGCGTGGTAACTATTGGTTAAATCCCCCTAACGGTAAACTATCACAAGGAATGATCCCGTTCTTTATGGCAGTCTATAGAGGTGGTCTGTGTACAGCAGTGGACAAATAACGGCTGATATGATGATGACGATGATAAAAAATTGTCCCGTAAACTAAGAGTTTGCTGATCATTACTAGAATATTTTTTTGACACTCGATACTACATCTAGATATATCTTTGTACAAAAGTCGTTTGCTTGAGTCGTTATCTCTGTCCTATTCGTGTTTCAACCGTGAAGCAGTTGTATTTGCATGACTATGTTTCGGTTTGAAGGGTGGAATATAGCGTGAATTTACAGGGTACAGAGGAATAACACCTGAGTCCTCAGGCATGGAAACGCATGGGGGGTATCATGGATGAAACAGTATACTCCGTTATAATCATGGTACTGTCCATGTATATAGGACACGGTTACCACTTTTCATCAGGTGGGCCATTAGCTTATTTGCCATTCTAAGTTATATAAAAAAATCTTCGTTTAGACTTTTATATGGCCCTTAAAAATGCAAATAAATTAAAGAAATCTTAACACAAATTTTAATACAGTTAAAATTATCAGCGTACATAAGAATACGGCCCTTTAAGAGCTCTACAAATTATCAAGCTAAACGAAACACATTTTTCACTTTCGACTCATTTAAACTTGATGTAACGTAGGGTACATTAATTCTGTCTCAAGTGTTGAGAACTGAACTTCGTACTTTCTGTTCGTTGGAAACATCGCCCTTTTCTCTGTTGAGTACCCCCTTCAAAAGTGAGAGTCACCTCCCTAGCTGTTAAAGGGAACTTTATTAAAAGTTGATGGCACAACGGGCGGGAGATTATATTTTTTAATAGTGACTAGTTTTTTCGAACTCAACTTTACCTCACTTCTTATCTTATGAAAATATTAGTATTTTGACTAGATGTTGTGTGTACATAGTTTTTTTTTTTTTATAATGGGTGAAAATGGTATGGTAACCCCGCCTGCGCTAACGGGATACGCTGGCGGAGCACCAGTGAAGGGTGATAGATGAGAATGAAAACAGGCCAGTTAGCCCATCATGATGAATTCATCAGGAATTAACCATGATAGTTTCCAGGGAGAACCGCGAGGAGGTCGACCTGGTTGGGTATATTGCTAGCAATGGGATTCTGTCTCCATTACTAACAATCCCTTTCCCCCCTGTGTGTACATAGTAGATATTTAAAAAAAAAATTAAGAGGATTCTTTACAGAATCCTCTGTTATGTCTTCGAAACAGTATACTCTGTTATGTCCATGGTACTGTTCATGTCTATAGGCGACGGTTGCCACTTTATCCATCCACTTTCTTAACATCTTCTTCATCATGCCGCTGTCCATCAGATGGGCCGTCAGCTTGTTTGCCATTCTAAACTTGCTATAAAAAAATTGCAAGGAAGAAAGGATTTTGTCAAAATGTCTCACCAGTGATAATTCGCGATCCATATTACTTTATCACGTTCTCGGTGTGTCCTCAACATGTGAGTCAGCGGAAGTTGCCCCAGAAGTAGTGTCGTGCACACAGCGACTTTACAACTCGGAACTGGCTCGTCACTCGTCGTGTACAGCAGCGAGTGTGCGACCTTCTTACTGCCTTACAAAAGGGTGCCATTTGTCAAAATGTACTATAGGTAATGAATATCAGAAGTGGGAATTAAATTGATCGATACAATTATTTATTTATATCTATATTTATATAGTCAGTTTTAACAGAATTTAATAAGAATGTTACCAATGTAATTTTATTTTTAATTGTTACAGATATATTCTCTAAGTGAAATAAATATAAATACACTCGTAACATGATTTGAAACATTATTATTACCTAGATTAATATAAGTCCAAACAATAAATCCTACATTTTTATTATTAAACATTTATCCTTACATCTTCTTATTTTATACTTCTTACTTTATACTTCAAATACAATAACACCAGAGGGAGACTTTGTACAAAAGTCGATTGCTTGGGTACCTCTGTCCCATTCGTGTCTCAACCGTGAATCAGTTGTGTTTGCATGGCTGTGTTTCGGTTTGAAGGATGGGATATGGCGTGAATTTACTGGGTACAGAGGAATAACACCTGAGTCCTCAGGAATGGCAACGCATGGGGGGTATCATGGGCGAAACAGTATACTCTGTTATGTCCATGGTACTGCTCATGTCTATAGGCGACGGTTATCACTTTCCATCAGGTGGGCCGTTAGCTTGTTTGCCATTCTAAGTTGTATAAAAAAAAAGTAGCCTATGTCCTTCTCCGCCCCATATAGTACATGTACCATATACTAAATTCCACAGTGATTGGTTTTTTTTAATGGGTAATAATGGTATGGTAACCTCTGCGCTATCGGTATACGCTGGCGGGGTACCAGTGAGAGATAATAAAAGCAGATCAGTTAGCCCATCCTTTTTTTTAACATCTGGAAAATGCTTTATGCAGACCCATACACCTTGTGGGAGTAGAATGAGTACTGTGGGAATCTCCTCGTAAGGTGGGGGTGTACCCACCAAAAACCAGACGATATACCCTCGAGGTGCCATATGTTGGAGACATGGGTTCGCTTTCGCACTCACCACATCTCCGACGGCAGCGACCCGCCCCCTGATGGTAAGAGCAGGTCTCCTCTCTCAAGATAGGGTGAATGGCGTGCTCATCCTACCACTCGGGGGATGCGCCGGTATATTAGCACATCCCCCAGGAGTTAGCCCATCCTAACGAATTCAACTAGAATTAACCACGATGGTTTCCAGGGGGAACCATCTGGAGGTCGATCTGACAGGGTATATTGCTAGTAATGGGGCTACTTAGATAAATAGATAAACTTTTTATTTTAGCCATTTATGACACATATAAATTTACAAATGAGTTTATACAATCAAATTATTCACACTTTTTAAAATATACAACAAAAGATAAAATATGAAAATATGGTTTCGCCATGTGTGTCGCAGTGACCCAAATAGGCTACAGCTCAGTGATGGTTTTGCTTAAAAGCAAAGCACTGATTTTCAGTTGATTTGACCTCATTACTAACAATTCTTTTCCCCCATAGTGATTGGTTACGCTGTTAAAGCATTAAGAGGTAACAAATGAACTCAGTTTTTAATTTTTAATCATGAATTTGAAATTTGATAGGTTTAGACTCGGATTCGATCTAGGAATCTCCGAACCGCAGTCAAGTTTTGTACGACTAACTCGTCGCCACTAAAGTTTTTCGTTGTATTGAATTTCGTGTCACATTTTATTATGTACACAAGCGCGATGACTTTGAAAATATATTTTCCGCTTACTCACGACACTTTAACGGTAAAAGGGTAAACAAAAACGCCCCGGACCTACCAGTCACGATGTTTCTTTCATTTTTGTTCGAAAATTCTGGAAATATTGCAAGGCACACCGTGTTTTATAAAATACGGCGGGGAGGGAGATTTTTTTATGTTGTAGTCCCATCCAATTAAGACCGGTAGGTTTGAAGGCCGCTTCAAACACAACGGTCTTAAAAGATGGAATAAGCTAGCCGTTTTCCTTGAAAATAAAATCGCAAGACTTGTTGAAGAGATTTTTAAGAGAATATTTCCAGATGTAAGCGACGTTTGTGTTATCTACCGAATCATAAATTAAAAGGATTTTATATTTATAATATATACTGGCTTTCACCCGCGACTTCGTACGTAATACCGAAGTGTTTACTGAGCGGGATGAAAAGTCGCCGTGTGATCCCGGAATAGATTGAGCCATCCCTTTCTTTACCATAAGTGTCATAAGAGGTGACTTAAGAAACTGCGCTTGTCAATCCGCTTGCCAAGCGTAGCAACTACTGGCAAGCTCCCCTCTTCCTATTGGGGATTATGGCTTATTTTTAGCAGTGAAGTTTTAATATGACGATAATATCAAATCCGAGGGAGACTTTGTACAAAAGTCGTTTGCTTGGGTACCTCTATCCCATTCGTGTTTCAACCATGAAACAGTTGTGTTTGCATGGTGTTTCGGTTTGAAGGGTGGGATATGGCGTGAATTTACAGGGTACAGAGGAATAACACCCGAGTCCTCAGGAATGGCAACGCATGGGGGGTATCATGGGCGAATCAGTATACTCTGCTATGTCCATGGTACTGCTCATGTCTATAGGCGACGGTTATCAAGAAATGAGTAAATAATAAAAAAAAAACAAAAATTTTCAAATCCGACTGGTAGTTCTAGAAGTCTAACAGAGTATACTGTTTCGCCCATGATACCCCTCATGTGTTGCCATTCCTGAGGACTCAGGTGTTATTCCTTTGTACCCTGTAAATTCACGCCATATCTCACCCTTCAGACCGAAACACAGCCATGCAAACACAACTGCTTTACGGTTGAAACACGAATGGAACAGAGGTGCTCAAGCAAACGACTTTTGTACAAAGTCTCCCTCTGGTCATTATTACCCATTAAAAAAACCAAAACAGTGGCTTAACAAATTATGACGTGTTTAAAACGATTCATTATCACAATGTGACATCATTGCGTAAAATAACAATAATAGTAGCTTCGTACTCACAATGTTTAATGTAAGTAAAGACTCCTGTTTCATTCAATCATTGTTTGAATCTTCACACTACAGCATTGTGCCGCTAATATGAGAGTTATTACAATAATTATGTATGTGATAATACTGAGTTACATCGATTTTGTGTATGGAACTGTATCTGATTTTTTTAATCATTTACCCGACGATATTGGGGTAAGTGGCTTTTTTTATGTAATAGTAAACTAAAAAGTTTTTCATGTGAGTAAAATATTTTTTTTATTATTTTCTTTTTCTTATGCAACTCGGTTACAAAGTTACGTCACTTTGTTTGTGATATAGTTAGATTAATTAATTTATTAGCATGATCATATCAGCTGTTAATTGTCCGCTGCTGAACATAGGCTTCCCCCTTGGGGAATTACGCCAGTAGTTGCCACACTTGGCAGGCAGATTGGCAAACGCAGTTAAGGTTTTTTTTTGATGGATGAAAATGGTATGGTAACCCCGCCTGCGCTAACGGGATACGCTGGCGGAGCACCAGTGAAGGGTGATAGATGAGAATGAAAACAGGCCAGTTAGCCCATCATGAGGAATTCATCAGGAATTAACCATGATAGTTTCCAGGGAGAACCGCTAGGAGGTCGACCTGGTTGGGTATATTGCTAGCAATGGGATTCTCAGTCTCCATTACTAACAATCCCTTTCCCCCACGCAGTTAGGGTTTAGTGATGTTATTAAGAGGAACAGTGCTGTCTATTCTTCGATCATTAAAGTTCCCCTAGTCGCCTCTTGTGACATCTACGGGAAAGGAAGGGGTGGTCCATTCGATGCTAGGATCATACGGCTATATAAAATATTACTTGAGTTTAAAAGCACAAAAACACAACTTAAATAATTTTGAAAATCATTAATAATTATTATTTCTATTGTTCTTCTGTTTAATTATAAAAAAATAATTTACATGCAATAGATTTAAAAAAGCAAAGTTTCCTGTTTTTGCATTAACTTAGTTTTTACCCGCTACTTCGCCCGCATGGTCGGTGTACGTTGACTGAGAGTGTACCAAATTTAATTACCATCGATTAAACCATTGCCAATGACATAGACCTCAACGACCTCAATGGTGTTTCTCAAAAAGTAGGTCTTAATATGAACATGGACAAGACTAAAACCATGTCTAACGTCCATGTCACACCTATACCGCTTACGATTGAGAACACTACGCTCGAAGTTGTCAATGAGTATGTATAAATGGGACAATTTGTCCGACTAGTTAAATCCAAATTCGATCGCGAGGTCAAACGACGAATCCAATTCAGAACCGTTACTTTTTTTTTTGATGAACGAGCATGCGGCTCACCTGATGATAAGTGATTACCGCCGCCCATGATCACCCACAACACCAGTGGCATTGCAGGTGTGCTGCCGGCCTTTTAAAAAGGAGTATACTCTTTTCTTAAAGGTTACTTATGGGAGGCCTAAGTTCAATAGTGGACAGATCATGGCTGATATGGTGATGAACCCATTAAGGCGTCAAGTGATGACATATACTTTAAAGTTATAATTTTAGTAAGGATTTAATGTGTATATTTTTTAAAGAACGCCTTCAGCAATATGTGGCATACTATCAGTACCGCTGTGAGGAAACCAGTGAGGTTACGGCGATTAGGAACTGGTGGAAGTAAGTAACAAATATTAAGTAAATATAAAGAACTTGGCTGTGTGGTCCCGGCATAGAATAGCCCATCCCTTACTTTACCGTGGGTGCCATAAGAGGGATGGGCAGCAGCGTCCCTTTTAAAACATCTCTAAAGCCTGACTGCGGATGCCAATCCGCCTACCAAGCGTGGGAACTACTAGCAAAACCCTCCAAGGGGGAGGTTTACGTTCAGCAGTGGACAGTTAAAGGCTGATATGGTGATGATGATAAGAAACTTACATAGAATCGTAATTGATCTTAACTCGTGGTGTTATACTCATTAAACGCGTTCCTTTATGCATTGACAGCGCAACGTCGAAGTTCCTGCACTCTATCGCTGCAGTGAGCATTCGTATTCGACTTCAAATCCATTGCAGAGAGTCAGTGAATGCAGGTGGCTTAGGACTGTTCCTTATGGCCCTTCCCTCTATCATTAAATTTCCTTAATCGGCTCTTACGACACCCACGGAAAAGGACGGGATGGTTTATTGTATATCATCTACTAAGCGTGACATTTTTTGGCAAAGCTACTCCTTATAGAGGAGGCCAATGTTCAGCAGTGAACAGATAATGACTGAGATGAAAATGATTTTTGTTTAGTATTTGTTGTGATAATAATATAATTTCAAAAATCTGAAATTGAAAAATGAAATTATCAGGATATGTTCGCTAGAACATATCTCATGTGAATGTGAATGTGAAAGGGACTCCATTTTCCGCACTTAGCCTCTCATTTGGGCCCTTGTGCGTATGAGTCGTGGCTAGTGCAGCCAACCTAGCTCCGTCCAGAAGCGCAGAAGCTTCCTGGGTTCTTCACAGGCCTCACGGAGCGACCTCACCGTTCCGAGGATTTCTAAACGTTGATAGGCCACAGCCTCACAGAACATATCTCATATCGGGATACTGAAAATTTTTGCTAAAGAAACTATAGGTTGAAGAGTAGCAAAGAAATTTTTAGTATTTCCTTCCTATTTGTCCCATTCGTGTTTCCTGGGTGCAGAGGAATAACACCTGAGTCCTCAGGAATGGCAATGCATGGGGAGTATTATGGGCGAAATAGTATACTCTGTTGTGTCCACGGTACTGCTCAAGTCTATAGGCGACGGTTACCACTTTTCATCAGGTGGGCCGTCAGCTTGTTTGCCATTCTAATATGTATAAAACAAAAGCCATATGGTAGGAAATGTTTAAATTTTTTTAGTAAAATCAGGTATTCGGTAATATTACCAAATACCTGATAATCTGACAGCTAGATGAGCTATGGTTATTTTGTTTTTATATTCTCTTATTTTCTAGAACGAAAAACAACAGCAACTACGTCCACCACAACGACAACAGTTACAGATATAACAACAATCGAGTCTTCCACAGTTCAATACAAGGACAGTAGTAGGAAAAGAGATCTAACATATGGAGAGGACAATATATCTTCTACAAAAGTTAAACTGCCACATTTTATGCAGCCTTTTTGGAAATATTTCGAGAAGTGGAAGAATTTACACCGGCCAGTGTTCGCTGTGTTCGAAAATTCTAGAGAATCAAGTAAGTAAACATTTACTAATTCCCTGTAATGGATTTGAGGAGTTTTATTTATATAGTGGCCGTGTGATCCCGGCATCGAATAGGCCACTCCTTCCTTCCCCGACGGCATTGTAAGAAGCGACTAAGAGTAATGTTCGAGGGGTGGGTAGTAGCATTCCTCCACCACCACCAACTTGCTTGCCAAGTGTGGCAACATCAAATTTGGGAAAGCAGTGGACAGTTAACGGTTGATATGGTTACCATCATATGGTGGGTATCTATATACACGCAATACTGAAACAAAAGCAATGTATTTTGTAATTTTTCTCTGTTTGTTTGTCGATCTATCTGTCTGTATGATAACGTTCCACGTAAAAATGACTGCACTGATTGTAATGTAATTACCACAGTATCTACTAGTAGATTGAACTAAGCCGTAGATCAATATATAGGCTATAGAAAGCTTAAAAAATACCCTCTAAAAATGCGTAGCAAGTCTGTATAACATGAAGTTAGTCATACATAAGGTATATTATTATATATTCCATATCCGCCATACTATCCTGGCTTCGGTAACTTTATAGGACAGGTTATTACATAGATTATGGATCTAATGTCCCGAACCACTTAGTGGTGCGGATGGTTGGACATTATTCTGTTCATGGGCGCATGGTGTGTACGTTAGGGTACGTTAACAAGTAAACGTAATCTGGTTCCGTACAGTGGCTATAATATGTTTATTTATTTATAGCGAATTATTCTATAACTACATCTATGGTATAAATAATTCCGTGGCGTGATGGTGGGTATGTTGCTTTGCGTAATAATGTTTCGAATTCGATTCCCGGTCGGACCAATTTTGTAAATGAACTTTTCTGAAATTTCTCGGATTTGGGTGCTCTGGGTTGTGTCTTTAAATGTTCGCTGGTTAGTTTTTTATAACACAGGGTTTTGTTAATGGAGATAAAATGGTGCACCCCATAAATTTGATTTAATAAAAAAGCCACCACACCATCTGATTTAATAAAAAATCCTTTAACTACCTCATCATGAATTATAGTCATGAGCATATGAATTTATTAATGTAAAAGTGTGTCAAACTATAGACTATAATATTAAAGACAATATAATAATGTACTTTGTATTATGAAAATGCTATGAGTTATATATTTCTGAATTTAATTAGTATAAATGCAAGATCAATATTAATCAGAGCGTTCTTTTAACTTTATTAAAAACTAAAATCAAATCAATCAGAACGAATCAATATGGTCGCTGACTTTACAGAATCTACTACAAAAATTTATAATGCAATTGAAAGCAGAGATTTATGACATTTCTTTGGAAATAATTTATTTCTTTTATTTTTAATTTCTTTTGTAATATTGTCGTTGTATTTTTTTTATCTAATTTTATTATCTAATTTGTATTGACGCAATATTTTAATGGGTATTTGTAATGAGATTTCTTTTGTTAATAATATATTTCTTTCATTAATAATATAAATCTTTCATTTTTAATTTCTACTATAAATTTATCTGTATTAATCTGTCATTGCTATTAATTATTCGTTTTTGTTTGACGTTTTTATATTAATTAATTAAGGACACTTATTTGCCTCTCAAAAAATTTGTTGTACTCCTTTCTACAAAACTAGATGGACTTCTGGCTGGGATTGATAGGTTTCTATGGGTTTATGTATAAAAAATATGTATTATATTATGCACATTCTATATACCGATATATACTTTTATAAATATATAATATACTCATACTTTATGATATATTTTTCAATTAACATTTGTATTTTAGTGATATTAATGGTTGTTTATAAACATTTAATATTTTTTAAAACATAATTTATTATTTATAAAATATAGATAGGATTTTTTATAACGTGATTAAAAATTCTTCAAAAATAAAAAAAACACTACTAAATTGAAGCGTTAAATTATTATTTATGTAGATTTTTCATTCTCAGTTTAACTGTTTTTTTTATTTTATTTTAAGTGTGTTAATTGCAGTTTTGTTCAATTATTATATATTTTTTTAAATAATATTTCCTTTTTACTCAACAGATTTAAATTTCTTCGTTAATTACGCACAAGTTTATTTAAAACAGAAGTACTTTTCTTTCGTATACGAAAGATTTTTTTTTTATAATTATCTACCCTCCAAAAACAAACATAATATTGGTATATAAATTGGGAATCTATAATTGGCTGTAATGGTGTAAATATAGTACTTTTTAATTATTATAGATATAAGCTGTTGATTCCAGATGAAATATTAAAATAAAATAAAAAAATTGCAATTTTCAAAAACATATCCTTTATGCTCATATTTATTTAATAATTAAAAGTACATTTTCTTTTTAATTTAATTATGATTTTCATTGTTTTACACATTTCAAATTTAACTTCCGTGTTTCTATTACACTTTCTCAAAATTTTATTTAGTCAATTAATATATCTTGGGAACTTTGCAGAAATTGTTTTTCTAAGAAATTCATAAAAACTTTAAATGAATTTTCAATAACGAGATTCAAGACATACTTATTAGCAAATTTACTTTGAAAAAGATACACCCAGAATATTAATCATTATGAATTTTGATCTAATTATTAAGAAAACAGTTTGATATTTTTCCAATATCACTTTATATAGTTCAATGAGAAAATCGTGGTGAAATATACATCTACAGTAGTCTAAGTTTGTATCAGTATTATTTCTAATATTTTAATTGTAGTGTTTTGTTTTGTATCAGCCATTAACTGTCTACTGCTGAACATAGCCTCCCTCTATTGTTAGGTTTTGCCAGTAGTTACCACACTTGGCAGGCGAGTTGGCAACTGCAGTTTGGTTTTATGGACTTACTATTGTTACTGTTCTATAAACTTCTTGTCTTATGCCTATAGAACTTATTGTAAGTAAGCCTTTAGTTACTACTAAAAGTCTATTGGCCTTACTGATATATAAATATCAGTAAGGCCATATAGACTTACTATTCTGGAAACATACTGTTCTATATAACAGCTAACAGTCTATAGACATGTCTATAGAACTTCTTTTAGGTTTACACTAAGGTTGCATAAAATTTGAACATAACTGACATATAAATTATTATTATTGGAGAGTTTTTCTACCTATAAAGCTAACCTATAGGATATGCTATCCTATAAACTGTTTAGTAGCCTATAGGACATGCCGTCCTATAGACTTAGATACGGTCTTATAGAGATGCCTATAGGACTTAATCTACTTCACGTAAAGTTTTACTTTCGTCTATATTAATACTTCACTTCACAAACTAATTTCGCAACAATATAGTGTATTGTTTAAAGAAATAATAGTATTGCTGTAGTGCTATAGTAGAAATGTATTTCAAATGTACTTAAGAAAATTGGACATTATTATACAATATAATAATTATTAAATGATGATTTTAATACATACCATCGTACATTTTTACCTTATTAACCTTAGGAATTGTAATTTTTGAAATTTTCTACTATATCTGTCGGAGAAACTAAAGGTTACATTATTTATTGAAAATTTTTAAGAAGTGCAAATATAGCAAGAATAAACAAAGAAGAATAAATACAGTATAGTCTAAGATCTTGACGCTAAATTCTGCAAATGTAAAATTTTTTAATTGTTGTTAAAAATGAAAGGTTAACGAAATTCTAACGGAGTTGGATTGTTTGTTCTTAGTAAGTCACAACTTAGGGTTGTCAGCTAAAAATACCAATTTTTAAAAATACATATATTAAAATAAATATATTAAAAATACAGATATGCTGAATTTGGTATGTTTCATTAAGAAGTCTTATTCCTGCAGAAATAAATGACTGGATCTTAGGATAGTAATGATGTATATAGCAAAAGATTTTTGGATAGTAGAATAGTAGTAGAAGTAATATATTGTTTTTAAGACATGTTAAATGACGGTTTCTATCCACCTGTTATATTATAGATATGTTTATTCAATATTTATACCAATTCTGAATCGATTTTGATAAATCTTCTTGCATTTTTATTGGCTTCGTATTAGTTCCATGTTAATTTTGCGACTGTGAAATATTTTTAAAATCTACATCTACACTAATGTTATAAAGAGGAAAGATTTGTATTTTTGTGTGTATGTTTGAAATGAATAAACTCAAAAACTACTTTGCCGATTTCAAAAATTCTTTCACCATTAGAAAGCTATATTCACCCTGAGTAACATAGGCTATATTTATTGCTAGAAAGTATTAAGGATTCTTACTAAAACTTTAGTAATGTACCTCAAGGTGTAAAAAAATGTTAAAAAATATCATTCGTCGCGTGCGCTGCGGAAACTATTGGTGATAGAACAAAAGTATGTCCTACAATATTGAAGAAAATATCAATAACTACAAAAAAACTTTGTGATGTTATATGCCTAAATATTATCATTATGTCACAATTTTTAAAATGTTGTAAAAATGTTCACTCGTGCTAAGCCCAGACAGGCCGCTAGTAATTTATAATATACGTAATGTATCTAATTATATTTTATACTTACATGACTTCGTCAAAATATTAACGTTCTCACACTTTCAATAGAATAACACACGTTACAAAAGACAAGCATTTTTCAATATTTGCAGGAGGCATTTGAGACTACATGGAACATTATACAAAATACATTATATATTAAATATAACTAACCTAACATAGTAGCATGGGGGAAGGAATGTTAATAAGGGAGACTAAAGGCCCCATTGCTAGCAATATACAACCCAGTACCCAACCAGGTCGACCTCCACGTGGTCCCCACTTGAAACTGTCGTGCTGAATTCCAAGTGTCTTCATCACGATGAGCTAACTGACCTGTCTTTTCATACTCATCTATCATCTTTCACTGAAGCCCCGCCAGTGTATACCGATAGTGGAGGCGGAATGATGGAATGGTAAAAAAAAAAACACAGTGGCATAGGAACTAATGAGTGGGCAGTAGTAATGCCAAAACAGAAAAGTAAACAACAAAAATAAATATTTAATGTAATGATCAGGTAGTTCTATAGGTGAAAGAATGTTTAAAATCGGTTTAATAGTTTTCGAGTTTATTTATTACAGATAAAACGAGGGCAAAGCAATAAACTGAATTGTGACCATTTTGTGTTACTATGGCACACGTATGAAGGAAAAGAAAGAAAGGAAATTGTTGGTTTATATATTTGTATTTTGCTTTTTGTTTTTTTTTTTTGTTTTGTTTCTTTTTTATTTTCATTCTTTTATCTCCTTTACTGTGTATTATGTGTATGTTTGTACTGTAATTTGTGTGCTGTAAGTAATGCAAATAAATTATCTATCTGTCTATCGTAAACATACAATTAAATCTTTTCACTTTATAACATAAATTTATATATATTTTTATTTTACAGAATTACAACCCACGTCAGATACCGTCGATTCCGACAAGTACAAGTTGAAAATTCCCATAATTGTACCACAAAAATCTAATTATAGATACATGCTTGGGGTAATACCATCACGCAGTAAAAGAATGAAAGGTACTGTACTGTTTACGAATATTTGTTTATAATAGTTTATTTTAATTATAATAATAACAGAGTTTAAATAATTTTAACACGTTTAGACAGATAAGAGGGAGACTTTATACAAAAGTCGTTTGCTTGGGCATCTCTGTCCCATTCGTGTTTCTACCGTAAAGCGATTGTGTTTGTATGGCTGTGTTTCGGTTTATAGACTGGGATATGGCAGTGAATTTACAGAGTACACAGGAATAAGGAGTCCTTAGGGATGGCCACGCATGGTGGGTACCATGGGCGAAACAGTGTACTCTGTTATGTCCATGATACTACTAATGTCTATAGACGACGGTTATTACCATTTTCCGTCAGCTTGTTTGCCATTCTATGTTGCATAAAAAACAAAAAAAAAACCATTACAATGTAAAAAGTATACTTTTAAAAATTCTTAATTACACAAATAATTTAGTTGCTTTTTATACTACTTTGGTGGTAAACATATATTCGAGTACATATATATTGGAGATTTTGTATACATTTCCAGATTCCATAGAATAACCCCATTCACCCTTACTTCAGAAGCTACTAAGAATAAGATACCGCCGAGGAGCCATCATGATTCCTCAGAAGAAGGTGTCGTATTTGATCTTGTAATTTTTAAAAATTTAAGAGTAATTTATAAATAGATAAAGTAATTTATAATAAAAGTAATTTATGAATGGGGTTTATAATTTTAATTTACTGACAAAAGTGACCTCAAATAATAATTGCAACAAAGGTAGGAAGGTGATGATGATATGGGAAAACATAGTTTGCCAACTGCTTTAACCATGCTGTGTTACACATTCCAGAATGACAAAATCTTTAATTACTATATTTTTGTATAAATAATTATTAACATAGACTATGTATATAGATGTATATATATGTATATAGATGTTATGTATTATTTATTTATGTATTAATGTTTAAAGTAAGTGATATACTTTTTTTTAAAATTAGGGTATGATGAGGTCGACATATCCTTATAGGATAAAAGCCTCTAAATAAAAAAGATAAAAAAAACATGCTGTCTGGGTATCAATCTAGTTCATACCATTGTAACCTGTTGTGTATACTTTTTAAATAAAATAAAAAAAAAGAAAATACATTCAATGTTCTTTTCTATTATAACTAGCTATATCCCATGACTTTGCCTGTGGTTGTATCGTAATGTTATTTAATCTATAACAGCGGTCGCCAATCAGTCGCCAGGCGGATCGTTTCTGACCTGTGGCCTTCGTCCTTGCGGCCCGTGACTCGTTTTGGAAATGACATTCTTATAAATTTAACCCTCTTATTCATAAAAAAAGACAAATCTCTTATAAACTTATTTTGACTTTTGAACTTTTGTATCTTTCTTTTGAGTTAAATTTCCAATTTCACCCTAGCAAAGTAAGTGTACCGTTAAGAATGATAAAATTATTTCAAATTACTTGAACGTACCTAAACTCATATAAATTTATAATAGCAGATAAATTTTTAAAATAAATTATAAATAAATAAATGGTATTGTTTTTAAAAAAGCTTGAAAAATAAGACAATAAAATATCAATTATTATGATCTAAGTTTTGTTTTCCATAATTGTATTTAAATTTATATTAAAAATACAAAATGGAAAAAAAGTTAATTTATAAGAAATCTATTTTTAAGGCCAGATTTATTGTAAACCGATTACAATAATCAGATTTGATTTCAAATAATCAATATTTTTCGAAATGAATCGCCAACCCTAATATGTATAATAATGTCTCCCTCTGACGACTATTGTAATTTATTTGTGTTTAATTAATTATTATTTATTTTTAATTAATGATAATGAAATGTTAACCCCCCTGCGCTATTGGTATACGTTAACGGGGCACCAGTGATGGATGATATGTGACGATGAAAGCAGGTCAGTTAGCCTATCATGACGAATTCCACTAGTATTAATGATGATGGTTTCCAGGGAGAACCGCATGGAGGTCGACCATTACTAATAATCCCTTTCTCCCCAATAAATTTAATTTTACTGGCACCATGGGTACTATTTACTCCCGGGCTATGGGTACTTAGATATTTTAGTCCCACATCATGGTATTGTAAATGGACAAGTTTTTTTTTATACAACTTATGTAGAATGGCAAACAAGCTGACGGCCCACCTGCCATTTTAAGTTGTATAAAAAAAAATCACCAAAGCCTAACTGTGGTTGCCAACCCGCCAGCCAAGCCTGGTCACTACTGGCAAAACCTTCTTTATGGGAAGGCTTATGTCCAGCAGTGGACAGTTAACAGTGATATAATTACTTTTCAATCTACATCAATTGAATTTAAAAATAAGAGAATTGAGGAGTTACTGAAGGTAACGGAATTTAATCTACTATTATTAATAAGCAAAAGAAGGTAGTTAAAGATGTGTCCGCCAAAATGGAATTTCTCGCCGCAGCGATAGGCACTTTAGTGAAACCACGAGACATCAGTGTAACAGAGATGAAGCGGCAATTTATTGCGTGTGCAACTGAGACAGCGATAAGCGACTCGCCTACTGCCGAAACATCTGTGCATGCGCGACGAGCGTTAACACTCTCTAATAGTAAGACAGCGTCTATAGTGAATAAGCGGGAGCGTATAATGACAATAACATGAAAGAGACAAATTAAATTGAAGCACTAGTGAATACTTCAAGAAAAGAGCATATTCCTTTATAAAGGAAGGGCGGCCGGCAGCACACCTGCAATGCAGTAGGTGTTGTTGGTGACCATGGGCGGCGGTAATCACTTACCATCAGTTGAGCCGCATGCTCGTTTGCCCCCTGTATTGTAAAAAAAAAAATACAATACCAGGAGACTATAATGTAGTAACGTAGAAACATAGGAATTTTAATAAACTAGAAATTAAGAAAGGAGGAAATAGTGTAATAAATAATTTATAATTCAAGCATACGATAAGAAAAAAGTGTTTACATGTATAATCCTTACATCCTGAGATGACAGAAAGTTCTGTAAGCAAACTGTGATGAAATGAAATTGAATGAAATGTGATGAAATAAGTTTATTAGAATAATAAATATTAGAATTATTTATACAGGCCATGTAGTACTAAGTTTGGTATGTGTTTAATTGTTTCAAGCTATGGAGATATACAAATATTTATAATTTATAAAAATAAAGTGAACAGTAATATTATGATTCAATTTTATGTTATTTTATTTATAATTATACATAAAATAAAATAAAATTTATGCTACATCATTATACATTGTGTTACTTAAACTCGTATAACTTATATTTGTTATGAGAATAAAGAAAAATAGTAAATAATAATTAAAATACCAATTAACTATAATGAATAATATGATAAAATATAGAATTATGAAAAGAATATGAATTACAAAAAATCATACCTAAATTCCCGAGTAATCACTCGGGTAATGTATTTTTTTGCGTATGTGTTTTACGGAAAACGAATTTATTAAAATATACCCATCAGATGTACCCTTGTACCCTTTTACCAACCAAGGTAAAAGCTTAGTTCAGTATATAGGTGTGATTTTGTTCCCACAAAAAGCGGAAAAAAGTGAATTTCGTTACCCCTTCACTAGCTAAGAAAAATCGCTTTGCCAGTCAGTGTAAACACAGTCGCGTTTGAACTAGTGTCTACGAGACTGCTTCTCGGAGCTTGTTTTTTATTATGTTGTGCTTTTTATATACCGCCTACAATTCCGTTATCATCTTTTGAAAAAAATAATTGTGCGTGAGAAATTCAATAATTTTTAATTTAATTTAATTTAATTGAAAACTGTTGTTCTACATACGATAAGGTTTTAGTATTAGGATATTAAAATTTTTAATACAAATTGGTCATCGGTTGGTATACAAAATTACTATGAATATTGTATGTCTTTCTGTGAATTTCCCCAACTAAATGAAGTAGTCAATCAAATGGGACGGACTCTGGACGTAGTTTTAACATATCAGACACGTTGGTGTTAGTATGCGAAGTATATATTCCTTTAACAGAAGTTGATACTACCCCCTGTTAACGGGAATTATTTCGGACGAGTCTAACGGTCGTGATTTATGTTACCACCTCCTGATATCGGGTGGACAACAAGTTCGATCTCCGCGATGGAATTTTCGTAAGTGCAATTTTTTTTGTACTGTACTACATATTAGTTGTCGTATTGGAATGCATTGTACGAGCTGTAAAATGCTGGCGATGCGTTAAATTATTTTTACAACATTATTAACCTAACTAACGTGTTTGTCGATTACTATCGGCACCGCCGGTTCGCACCTGTACTGCTCAGTTTGTTCCCACTTATCAGGCTATTTCTCTGCTCAATTCTCTGATTTCTCAGCAGCCAGATATTGATATATTTAAAGACAAATTCGATATATTTTTTAAATGTTGTTTAAAATTTTCAAATTTGGAAAATAAACCTATGGCTCAACACACGTTTCGGGATACTGTAAGTGTAGTGAGCAATTTATAAATAAATAAATGAATAAAATAAACTATTAATGTACACCAATTAAGAGAAATATTCCTCAAGTCATAAATATCAATCAAAAATAGTGGGGAATGTCCGTATAAAATATTTTTTCAATATTAGTCTTAAATTAAAGGTAAAAGTAATTAAGATCCATATTCTTTTTGTTCGTTCACTTAGCGTTTATTACAAAATAAATCAAATGCAACTAAGAATACGATCGTAAATACCAGAGCAAGAATGCACTTAGAAATTTGCTCAATACTTCCACAAGGTCTAGGTGATAAACTACTGTGGTTTGATAAAAAACGCGAGGTATTAGATTGTTTAGAGTCGATATGGGTACTAAGGATGAGTTGTCTGATGTACGCATCGCTCTATCGCGTCTAAAGAATAAGTTATCAGTAAATCCAGATGATCCAGATGATGGTAACGCGTGTGTAATACCTCTGGTATTGCAGGCGTTTATAGACTACGGTAACCGCTTACCATCAGGTGGACCGTACGCTTGTTTGCCACCTCAGCCGTATAAAAAAAAAAAGATTTATCCACCATTTACTATAAAAAAAACTGTGGAGGTATTCAAGACACTTTTATATATTTATACTTTTATATATTTTTAATATATATTTAAAAGCAAGGTTTTTGTCCAGATACAAAGAAATCATCTCGCGTTATTTCCAAAAAATAATAGAAATTTGCATATGGTTTGCATAACCGAAAAAACTAGTCTATCATAATTTGTATAGGTATTTGAGAATGCATTACTCTGTTTATTTACTTATCATGTGGTCTAGGCATAGAACAGACCACCTCTTCAATGCATTCGTAAGAAATAGGCTTGAAGGTAGTGCAATAATTTGTAATCCATATAAATGTTAATTCAAATGTTTGAGAAAATCCAAAATAAGTTATTTCGGTTTGTTTGTTTGAAACAATACGGGGTGTATCCTTATTTCTCTATCATGTATCCTATCCTTTACCAGAGGCAGACTTTGTGCAAAAGTCAATTGCTTGGGTACCTCTGTCCCATTCGTGTTTCAACCGTTAAGCAGTGGTGTTTGCATGGCTGTGTTTCAATTTGAAGGGTGGGATATGACGTGAATTTACTGGGTACAGAGGAATAACATCTGAGTACTCAGGAATGGCAACACTTGAGGGGTATCATGGGCGAAACAGTATACTCTGTTATTTCCATGGTACTGCTCATGTCTATAGGCCACGGTTACCATTTTCCATCAGGTGGGCCGTCAACTTGTTTGTTATTCTAAGTTGTATAAAAAAAATCCTTTTCATTTTGGGAATTGGCAACTTAAAATGATAAACAAGCTGACGGTTCACCTGATGGAAAGTAGTAGCCATCGTCTATAGACATGAGCAATACCATGGACATAACATTTTCCCATAATACTCCATATGTGTTGTCATTTGTGAGGACTAAGGTGTTATGTCTCTGCACCCTGTAAATTCACTGCCATATCCCACTTTTTCAGTTGTAATACAACCACAACTACTTTACGGTTAAAACCCGAATGGGACAGAAATACCCAAGTAAACGACTTTTTTTACAAAGTCTCCTGCTAGTATAAGGTAGAAACTCCAGCAAAAAAAAGAAATACTTCATTAATTGTTACTCTCGATATTTAGAAGGTGCCATCCGGCTCAGCTCAAGGTGGCATCTTCACGCATCACGCTTCATCTTCAGTAGTTCGCGATAATCTTCAGAGTGATTCGTCTGTGTAACATTATTAGCGGATATGACGAGTTCAATATATTTAATTGTTCAATAAATAAGTTCACAGAAAGGTCATTATTTTATTATTCTAATACTATTTAAAATCGTAGATGACATTGTTATAATAAATGAATGAATAAATAATGAAAATGTTTAACAAATAAGTAATTGACCCGACCATAAATCTAATAATCTTATATAAATGTTTAAGTCTGCTGATGACCAATTGTAATACAAATCAAATATCGATAAATTAATTGTAGCTTCGATTTGTTACTTATTTGCATTTATAATTGTTATTAATTCAAAAAGTGTTTTTATTTATTAATTATAACAAAACTTGCTTAACTTCTTATTAATTTCTAATGAAACGGAACTATACCTTTTATTACTATTATTATATTACTATATGGATAGTTCACCAAGTTTATTCCATTTATAGTATTAGTAAGGAATTCATTTGTGAACAACTCTCCCATTGACTATATCTTATTACTATTATAAATGCCAAATTTGTGTGGATTTATAAATGGAAATTTGTTACTGTTTCACAGAAAAAACTAGTGAAATAAAATAATTAAACTGATGCAGAGAGCGACTTTGGATTAGACTATTTAGAGATTTATCAAAATTTATAAGTGAGCAAATATAAAATAGTTAAGATTGATAACGACGACAGAGATTGAAAATATTATCTTTTACCATACTCACTAGACGCAGTGCAGTTTTATACAATGACTAACATCAACACTGAAGTGGTTCTGCGTAAATTACTCGACAATATAGCTAAAGAACATAACTATAAAGACCCTAATGTGAACGTGCGAGCTATAACTACCGCCGGTGCTAATTATAGTTCGGTACTATATATAGTAATAATTTCGGCACCTAAAAAGGAAGAACTTCAACTTTTCGCCAAAGTCGCCATTGTAGGTAAGGTCGCTCGTTCGCAGTTACATTTACCACTATTCGACATAGAACGCTTCGCATATAAAGAATTATTACCAGCGTATGAAAAAATACAAGATAAAAACAATTTGTCTAAAGAAAAGAGACTAGTTTGGCCTAAATTTTACGGTTGTAATCAAAATCTGTATGAAGAAACAATAGTTCTTGAAAATTTAGCAATTAAAGGATACGTAACATATGACAGACTCAAGTCGGTTAACTGGGGTTACGCTTCCAAGGCTGTTGAAACGCTCGCTAAATTTCACGCCCTGTCCATAGCTTATGGCGAAGAAAATCCAACACAATATGCTGAACTGATACAAAAAATGAAGGTTAAACCAAATTCATTGGACAAAATGGCTGGTACTTTAGACAAATTAACAGATATGGCTGTAGGTGTGATAAAAGAAGAAAATAAAGAAAGATTAAAACAATATATTTCAAAAGAAGGTGACCTCAAAAACATAACGACACTTTATCAGTCAACAGGTATAATTGTTTTAAATCATGGTGACTACAGACCGAGCAATTTAATGCACAAAATGAAAGATGTAAGTCTCAGATGATACTGCATTACAATATATTTTATTTAAATTTATATTCATGATAAAAATGTGTATAATTATTTAGGAAAGTTTATATCTTCACTCAGATTGCTACATCGATAGAGTTTAAACTTTGTAAGTTCTAAGCTTAAGTTTGTAATTATAAATTCCTTTTATGAATTATATTCATTCATCGGCCCATCTGGTGGAAAGCAGTACCATGGGCATAACAGAGTATACTGTTTCGTTATTTTTAATTTCGAAATTATTAATCTATAATTAGTCATATGTAGTAGGTTGGAAGACTTCAAAAGATTACAATAGTAAACTTATTATAAATATAAATAATTACAAGAAATAATCACAATGAGAAAACAATGGGCGACCTTATCGCTAAGAGCGATCTCTTCCAGGCAACCTTTGGATGGAGAGGAGTAATTATAAACAATTTGGTGGGAGGCACGATGAAAAATTTTGTTAGTTCCAAATATTGGAGATGTGATACATATAATAATATAATTATTATCATCGTCATTATTATATTAACCGTTAATTATCTACTGCTATACATAGGGCTCCTCCTCAGGGAGTTTGGCCAGTAGCTGTTACGCTTGGTAGGCGGGTTGGTAACCGCAGTTAGGCTTCAGTTATATTTTAAGAGGGACGCTGCCGCTTACCCTCGAGCATAAATTAAAAATGATATATTAATGAAATTGTGGTAACTCCCCTGATAATCTATTAATGATAGCTCTGACGAATGATATTGAAAACTTAACATTGCAAAATATTGCAACATACCAGAGGGAGACTTTGTACAAAAGTCGATTGCTTGGGTACCTCTGTTCCATTCGTGTTTCAACCGTGAAGCAGTTGTGTTTGCATGGCTGTGTTTCGGTTTGAAGGGTGGGATATGGCGTGAATTTACTGGGTACAGAAGGAATAAAACTTGAGTCCTCAAGAATGGCAACGCCAGGGGGGTATCATAGGCGAAACAGTATACTCTGTTATGTCCATGGTACTGCTCATGTCTATAGGCGACGGTTACCACTTTCCATCGGGTGGACCGTCAGCTTGTTTGCCATTCTAAATTGTATATATATATATATATATATATATATATATATATATATATATATATATATATATATATATATATATATATATATATATATAGAATCGATTGACTGATTGACCCAGACAAGTCAGTCTCCTGATCCTTACAAACAAGGATCGTTTGATTCTTATTGTAACTTATGACTTTTTTATTTATACTATTTATATTTCAGGATGGAAGTTTAGATATTATTCCTATAGACTTTCAAACAATATCAGCCAATAGTCCTGTTCACGACTTGTACTATTTTATTTTCACGAGCTCAGATGAAGAGTTCAGGCGTAAATACTATGAGCAATTGCTTGATCATTACTACCAACAACTGTGTCGAGCATTACGCAATCTGAACCTCGATTCTGAAAAGCACTACCCTAAGAAGAGTTACGAAAAGGATTTAAAGGAAGTATGTAAAAAAAATTATCTATTTATTTTCCAACACAAATTTATACCTGGTAACCACACAATTGGGGGAGGGGGGGGGTAGGGGTTTGTTAGCAATACGCACTACTAGTCATATTGCTAGCAATTTTTTGTTTATACAACTTAAAATCGCAAACAAGCTGACGCCCCACCTGATGGAATGCAATATACCCTACCTGGCTTTTCATTCGTCACTGGTGCCCCACCAGCGTATACTGTTAGCGCAGGCGGGGTTACCATTTCATTATCATCCATTTAAAAAAAAAGCCACATATTTGGAGAATTGACAAAGAGATAGGATAGGAATCGTTTAACAATAACAAAAGACAAAAAAGCAGGAATATATATTTCGATAGAGAAAATTAAAAACTTTTTAGAAAAAATGTATGTATATATAAAATAAAATATTCAAGTAAATTATTGCTATTTTTTATTTTCTCCAAAATAAGATTTAATCTTGAATCTTTTATTACTAAACACGTTTACTACTAACCTTTAACTGTCCACTGCTAAGCATAAGTCTTTCCCATAAGGGGAGTTTAAGGCTTTTGATTAAAGAGATGCTTTATGCTTATATTCAGCAGTGATAGATAGATAGATAGATAGATATATCGTTTATTTGTTTGTTACTAATCACACACATGTTCATACGAATAGATAATACATAATACAACATAAGATTTATAAAATTATGTTATTATGTGTGATCTGCAGCAATACAAAAAGGTCGAAGCTCAGCGTGGAACATTGTTCAAGGAACAAAACACTGATTTTCAGCTTTAACCCATTTGAGGGTACGTGAAAATAATAATTAAAATAAATATAAAATAAAAAGAGTTATTGGTGATTGTCTGTGCGGTGTGTGTATAATAAAAATAATGTAAATAGTTCAGGGTATAATTTGATATAATTTTAACTGAGTGGTAAGGATAAAGCGAAGAAAAAAAGAAAATAATAATAAGAGAAACATAGAAAAAAATAAATAAAAAATCATGACATGAGATTGCAGTGGACAGTTAATGGCTGATATGATGCTAATATGATGATTTAAGGCATCTCGTCCTCATTATAAAATTTTTTTCGTTGATTATTTTGGCTCACGAACAGGTTACCAGAGGGAGACTGTACAAAAGTCGATTGCTTGGGTACCTCTGTCCCATTCGTGTTGTTTTCCGTGAAGAAATTGTGTTTGCATGGCTGTGTTTCAGTTTGAAGGGTGGGATATGGCGTGAATTTACTGGGTACAGAGGAATAACATCTGAGTCCTCAGGAATGGCAACGCATGGGGGGTATCGTGGGCGAAACAGTAGACTCTGTTATGTCCATGGTACTGCTCATGTCTATAGGCGACGGTTACCACTTTCCATCGGGTGGGCCGTCAGCTTGTTTGCCATTCTAAGTTGTATAAAAAAAAAGGTTATATTCAAATTTAATATTACATAGGATATTTCATTTATTGTTTTATCTATATATTATATAATTTGTATTTATTTCAGTTTGTACGTTTCGGCCTGTTCCATGGTGTATTTTCACTGCCAATGATCACTGTTGACGCCGAGAATGCGCCAGCTCTTCATGGCGAAGACGGTATCAACTGCGTGCAGAATATCAAAACCAGCGACCTGTATTTAGAGAGGCTGAATGGAATTGTAAATGACTATGTACGATGGGGTATACTTTGAACGTACTGTTTTTCCATGAATCCAAATTAATTAAATAATAAATGTGAATGTACTTTAATGTTTCCAAATTTATATCCAAAATTATCTCGAGTGACATATTTGTAAGTAAAAATTATATAATAATATTTAAATAGTGCATAAATTTATAATAAAAAATTTTATTGACAAACCTAAATGTTCATAATTTGCGTAAAATATTAGGTATCACTTTGTGGTTCCGGCATAAGGTCACTATTTTCTTTCCTGTAGGTATTATAATAGCGTCCAAGGGAACTTAATGGTTGAGAGATGGGCAGACGTCCCTCTTAAAACATCACTAAACGCCTAACTGCGGTTACGAAACCACCTGCCAAGAATGGCAACTACTGGCAAAATCCCTTTAGATGGAGGCCTATTTAATTATGAATTAGAATGTTGATTAATTGAATTTCTTAGCCGTGCGGTGTTGGCATAGAATACACTATCCCTTCCTTTCCTATGGGTGTCATAATAGGCGACTTAGGGAATTTGATCATCGAGGACAACAGCATCTCTCTTAAAGTGGTTGGTCAATCAATCAATTAGGTCATCTTCCCCGTCATATAAAAGTAGCGGGTCATATAGGGGCATCGGGGCTAACCTCACTACTAATATAATAATCTATTTAATGTAATATAACACCATAAAAATAGTAATATTCCCACTCATCCTTATGGCAAAAACACACGAAGAATAAAAACGGAAAGTACAAGAGGAAGGAAACTTATATCGAGAAAGTAATAAAAAAGAACTATTTGACAGTTCACTAAAACTCTTTTCGATTATTTAGGCCGAGTGAAATGACATAAACTGGTCGACGGTCGGGTAACTGTCAAATATAGTACCTATATTGTGTACAAGTACGAAATACTTTCTTTCAAACAAACTTTTGTATGTAGTAACTTGTTCATTGTTATTAAAAGACATGCATAACAAACTTTATTATGCTCGAGCATATATTTTATTATATTTTAATACATACATAAATATTTTAGAATATTTTACTGAATGAGGTGTTATTTTGCGGAAGCACATATCACTGGTTAGTCGATTAAAAATTAAGCTCCGGACAGTGTGTCTATCAATTTATTTGAAGGTACCTCGTTTAGAAGTAAAACACGTGTTGCAAGATTTGCGTGGATGGAATAGCGGTTAGAGGTTGATTACTGATATGAAAGGTAGTACTTCATTAATAATCATACCAGCCATTATCTGTCCACTGCTGAAGGTAGACCCCCAGAGACTACCATAAGAAACATTCCTGAGCCGCCTGCATCTACTGACTACCTGCAATGCATTTGAGGTAATCATTCTATTTAGTCAGGGGTCGTCTCACACTGCGATTGCCTATACGAGGACATCACTCAAGAGTCTTTCTTGCTTATCAGTTTTTTATGCAACTCAGGATGGAAAACAAGCTGATGGTCCACCTGATTGAATGTGATAACTGTCGGTTATAGACATGAGCAGTATCATGGACATAACAGAGTATACTGTTTCGCCCATGATACCCCTCCACGTGTTGTCATTCCTTAGCATTAAGGTGTTATTCCTCTGTATCCTGTAAATTCACTGCCATGTCAAACCGAACACAGCCATGTAAACATATTTGTTTCATGGTAAAAACACAAATGGTGCAGAGATACACAAACAAACTACAAAGTCTCCTTCTGATGTTGTCGGTTTTTCAAACTATGTGACCAGTTTATTGCTACTTCAGCTTTCTTATTCTTTAGGCTATGTCAGTAACTTCTGTTACTAATAATATTAGTAGTCAATTTTTAAATATTGGTAAACGCACACATACTAAAATTATCAGTGTTCCTTTACTATATTAGACATGTTTTATACATATAAACCTTCCTCTTAAATCACCCTATCTATTAAAAAAACCGCTGCAAAATCCGTTGTGTAGTTTTAAAGATTTAAGCATACATAGGGACGGACAGACAGCGACAGTGACTTTGTTTTATACCATGTAGTCATAATTCTTATCGGAATAACCAAAATTATCTTTAAGGTTATATTTCTCTTCATTCATACTCGTATATTATTCTGTGCTATTTAATTCATAGAAAAATTCATTTACATTAAAATCACGTCTCATTTCTTTATACAAAACGGCTGTGTTTTAGTTTTAAAGGTGGGATAAGATAGAAAGATTACACATTAAAGAGGCATAACACCTTGGCCCTCAGGGATGATATCGTCACCTTTATGGTAAACTTACGAAAAATCTTGTTTTTTATTGAATGCGCCTAATTAATTATTATTATATTACAAGTATCAGAAATAAATGCAAATTCGTTACTTTGCACCTTCATACATGAGAGTTCCTAGGTGTTGAGTTATACAACAGCAAATCTATGAAAGTGTTACTTTCGTAAATATACCAAGGTATAAATCACGTATTTTGGAGAAAACTTCAGTTTTAAATAACAACGTTATAGTAATCATTCATGTAAAATAACTAAATTAGGATTGAAAAATTGATAAAATAATTATTGAAATTTTCAAATTAAAGTGTTTATTATAGAAAATACTATTAAAATATGCTAAGTAAGTTTACTTTGGGTATATCACAAAAATATGGAGATTCGAGCTACTCGATTTCTTTAACCATTAGAGATAGAAATTTGAAAATAAGCCACAATAAGTAGTATGACGCAAAAAGTAGATTTTTAAAGAAATGTCAAATTTGAAAAAACTGCGGATTCGTAATTTTGTCATAGAGGTGACGATATGTATGACGGGGACTATAGATATGACCGCGTATTTGACTACATCCATGGTGCTGTTCATGTCTATAGGGAGATTACCACTTTCCACTAAGTGGGCAGTCAGTTTGTGTACCCTTCTAAGTTGCATAAAAAACTCAAGATTCACATTTGGCAACTGTAGACAGGTTTTAGAGATGTTATAACAGGGATGCTGCTGCCATCCCTCGCCCTTCATTTAAATAAAAAGTCGTAAACCAACGTGCGAGATGAATTATATATTACAGTAAATAACATATGTTTACATTATTTTAAGAATGATTTAACTAGAAAATTTAGCAGACTTTTTTCTACACCACTATTTGTGGCGCATTGTACTTATACAGTATTTTTTAACATGTAAATCAATGGTACTCGTACAAGTGGTAAAAAATTCATAACATTTTTATTTAACGCTTATTCCATGATAAATGGTCAACCTTTTAACTGCTTCAGTTGGATTATACGACACATATTTGTGTGTCCACAGCGCCCCTGTCGTATTTATCCTAAAATCAACCTGTCGTTTTTCCGTTTATTTAACTACCTACTACATTTACAACACATTGTGTGTGTTTGTGTGTGTGTGTGTTGTGTGTGTGTGTGTGTGTGTGTGTGTGTGTGTGTGTGCGCTCGCGTATGTGCGTGCGTGTGTGCGTGCGTGTGAAGTGTGTGTGTGTGTGTGTAATTTTTCATCGTGCCTCCGATCAAATCCTTTACATCCAAAGGTAGAGATCGCTTTTAGCGATAAGGTCGCCCATTATTTTTTCATTGTTTTTATTTCTTGTAATTGTTTATATTTATAATAAGTTTACTATTATAATCTTTTGGAGGAAACATTAAAGAATATATATATATATATATATATATATATATATATATATATATATATATATATATATATATATATATATATATATAGGTTGGGTCTGTCCTGTAGGAAACAGGATTCATTTTACAATACACATTCTAGTAGTACGGATAATTATTTAATTATTAGTTCTATTTAACTATTACTTAGTATAAGTTTATGGCAGTCTATAGGGGAGGTTTATGTCCAGCAGTGGACGGATAGTGGCTGAAATGATGACGATAAGTTTAATTTTTCAATAAGATTTCACGAACAAAACAGAAATATTATAAAACAAATTTATTATAAATATGCAGTTATAGGTTCTTTTTCGTTGCTACAAAGTTTATTTATAAATAATAGTGTTCCATTAAAAAAAAAGATTGAAACGATTTTGATATATAAATATAAAAAAATATAAAAAAATTTTGAATGACGGTAACAAACATAAAAAAAAATACAACTGAATTGAGTATATCCTTCTCTTTTGAGGTCAGTTGAAAAAAAATTTAATCAATGATAGAACCTTTTATTTACAACAGAAAAAAAAATGTTCCACCATAGATAATATTTAAGGTAGAGCATTTTTATATATATAATTATTGTCAAGCTTATGACTGCTTTTGATCGAAAACATCCCGTTTTGCAGGTAACAAAGGAAATCTCCGCAATTCGCTAGTAGAAAGATATTAAAAATATATAATAAAAAAAAAATAATCCGGCATTAATTCAACTCGTTTTTTACCAAGAATAACGGAGTGACATCATAAAAATCTACGTGACATTTTGCATGTCCCTGACGAGGGTCTAAAACTTTGGACGCGTTTCATTTCACCTGAGCCCAAGCGCTGGAAAACTCGCCGTGGGACAGCAAAAGGGGTTTCTTTAAATAATTTTGTTCAAAGGACGTGGGCTGGGGACTTTTATAACAAAAATATATACTCTTGGACATGAAAATATATACAGCGCTTTCTAGTCCAAAATTAGATACTTTAAATGCTTTTCTTTTAAATACCTACAAATTACGGGGTTCAAACCGTAAGCGTAAGAATAAATTAAGTTTTTTATTCTAAAACCATACATACTATGTAGGTGCATATAAACCACCAAAGTGCACCAACACCAGGTTGAGGACTGGTCAAGATATAAAAATAAACAACAATCTCTGGATTCTAAAAAACCTCTAGGGTTTTTAAAATCCAGACTCTCCAAAAGCTCGTATTCCGTGGATATTGACGACGATGGATGTGGGAGATTCCCATTTTAGTCTCGAGCCTCTTATTCGGTGGTAAGTAGTCTTTAGACAGACCTTTTTTCGTTTTATATAAGCTGGCTACCTCTTGGATTTGCAAATCCAGAGGAATTATCCCCGCCAAGGCTAATGCCGAGTTGAGCGATACCGTTCTGTACGCTTTACACACTTTTTGTGCGAATCCTCTTTGTATCGACTCCAATAACTTGACGTTAGTTTGGAGATCGACCGCCCGGCTCCATTCATATGCCGCATACGTCACGATCGGCGCAATGACCGCCATGTTGATAATC